GCCCATTGCTCCTCTAAATACAAACTCAATGAAACAGAAACGGTTTAAATGTTTCAGGGAGAAAATGTARTTTAAAACCTGTAACTGTGAATTGGTGGCAGCGACAGATCTCCAACAAGTTCTTCCATGTCCCTCTGTAAATGCCTGAGAACTGAGGACACCAGTTCTGGGGGTTCYGGAAGAACTGAGGTGGTCTGAAGGTTTACAAGGAGAATGTTTTGTCATTCTTGTCTGCTGGAGGATTCCAGCTGTTCATAGGTTCTGGGTCTTTGAGGATATTTTTGTTTCATGGTGCACCAAACATTTTCATTTGGTCAGACAGAGTTCTGGACCACAGGCAGGTCAGCTCAGGACCTGGACTCTTCTTCTCTGGATTCAACCTGAGGTCACTGTGGGCTGCATTAAAAAAAAAAAAAGATGGGAGCAGATGTTGAGCTAAAACTTTTCTGTACAGATGGAGTCCCTCCAGATGTGTCAGCTGACCATGTGAAAGGCGCTAATGAACGCCTATACCATCAGAGAGGCAGACTTTTGAACTATGTGCTGATAACAAACGGGATGGTGCCTCTCCCATCCTCTTTAGTATGGAGAACGTGGTTTTTAAAAAGAATTTCACRTTTGGATCTATCTGAGTTCTCCACTTTGCTTCGGTCCATTTAAAATGAGCTGTGGTTCTGAGAAGACAGCAGAGGTTCTGGATGGTGTTCACATATGGCTTCTTCTTTGTATGATAGAGCTTTAAGCAGCATTAGTGGATGACAGTGAACTGTTTACTGCAGTGGCGCCCAAACATTTTCCCCAAGAGGGCCAAAATGAGAATTGATCCAGGGCTGCAGGCCACATGCAGTAAYWTAATACATGAAATACAAATACTTTTTAAGTAAAGTGCTTTACTTTTGTTAATTAAGCTAGCAGCCAGTGTGGTGACCTGCTTTTGTTTTAGTCTGTGCACTTGAAGAAAGTYTGCCATATGTTCAAGTAGCAAAGGCTCATGGGACATCCCATMAATTGATAAAACTTTTGTGGCCTTATAAAGTGTGCAAATCTAGATGTGTGGTTAAATCTAAGCTAAATATCTCTTGTTGTTACTTTGTCTTTCACTGTGTTTCTACATTGGAAAGCAGGTTACAACTGCTGGTGGGCCCCACGGTCTCCATTTTGGACTCCTCTGTTTTACAGACAGCTAGTGATACAAATTAGCTTTCTGAAGCTTGTTCAACACAGTGCTCTTTGGCTCCACCTGGTGGCTCAAAGACTGAAGAGCAGCTTGAACCCACCAGCTGACATGAAGCTCTTCACCCTGTTTGTCCTTTAGACAGAGGAGAAAGAATAAAGTTCTGCTT